GGCCAATCATCAAAACAGACACAAAGAATAAAGGAGTACATAATACACTTTGGATGTCTGAGAGCATTTGCAAGGTACTTTCTGTCCATAAAGATATTTGCATCTCAGGAACATCATGCCAAGGAAATAGACTTTAGGAAAATCCACTTGAAATTAGAAACACACTTGAAAATCAAGAGATGCTGAATTTATGTATGTATATACGTATTATGAGAGCTATGGTGGCTAGCAGAGTACATGGGACTGAACAAGGGAGGGACAATACTTAGGATTAGACTGAGGGTGATAGAAGAAAAGGAGGAGGACCAGACAGAGGAGAGACAGAATGATCTGGTGTGGATGAATTTGACTTGGAGGTATGCAGAGGAATTATGTTAACAATATTGTAGATAGAAAACAGCAACCAAACAAAACAGCAATAACAAAAACAGAAAATGGACAGGCCTGTAATCCTACATACTCGGGAGGCTGAGGATCAAGATTTTAAAACTGGCCTGGGCTAGAAAGTATATGAGACTCTTGTCTGCAATTAATTAGGAAAAAAGTCAGAAATAGAGCTGTAATTCAAGTGTAGAGCACTAGCCTTGAGAACACAAGCTCAGAAAACAGCACCCAGGCCCTGAGTTGAAGCCCTGGACCCAACCGAGGGGTTAGGGGAGGGAGAAAAATGATGAGTTCAATTTAGGAAGTAAAATCTCTAGGAACCATCAGAGGTTTAGTAAATGAAAATGGAAATTACATTCAGAAATGAGAATGGAAAAAAAAAGAAAAACTCTGTTGAAAAAAGCATAAATACCAGAGTAAGTAAGTTGGACAAAACAGTATGTTGGAAATGACAATATGACAATTGGACAAGTTGATACCTGAATAACATGATGAAACTGAATCTCTGAACTCACAAACATATAAAAATGACTAAGTAGACTGTAAGGATGACTTCACAGCTTCATTAATGCTATAAGTGCTTTATAACTGAGACACAACCCTAGATAGTTTTTATTTTGAAACCAAATCTTACTCTGCTTTTCAAGTCATGCCTACAACTTGAAATGTTTCAGTTCTATTTCCTAAATAGCTTGGATTACAGGCATGTGATCACCATGTCAGGGTAGATTTATCTTTAAGAGCTAGAACTTTAAGAGCATTTTAGACATAAACATTTCTTGTGTTAGGTGAGGCAAAGACATCAGCATAAGTGACAGAAGAAAAAATAACACAAATAGCTAAAAGAAAAATGGAAAGAGGAGTAGTAGTTGAATCCTAAAGGAGTCAGTATTTATTTAGTGCTTCCAGAATTATATAACTGTTAAATTGTTACCTTTATGAGTATATTTTAAAATGAGTACATTTTATATTTATGAGTATACTCTTTATTGTTAATATATTATTGTAAAACTACTGTACAGAGGGGTTACAGTTACATGAGCAAGGTAATGAGTACATTTCCTATCAAATATTGTTGCCTCCTCTTTGGTTTTCCCCTACCATCCCTTCTCTCCCACCTCCAGAACTACACTTCCCCCTCCCACACTCAAATTGTAAAGTTCGTTTTTCAACATAGTATCTTGTACATCTCATTGTTACAATGGGTTAACCTGTATCCCTATTTAAGCATTTTGATTTTTCCTTTCCCCTCCCCAAACTAGAGAACTGCATATACAAGATGCAGGGCTCTGCCATCAAATACAGTGAAAACAGGGGTTATACCATGGGGGAGGAACATACAAAGAAACAAAAAAATCATAAATTATAAATATGTTAGTAACAATAGCAAGAAAGAAAAAAAACACTGTGTCCCTATCTTGGGGTTCATTTCTCTCAGCATCATCTTATCTGGTCATATGTACATAATTTTTTACCTTTTCTGCTTGTCCTAGACATATACTTGTTATTCCAAATAAGGGAAACCATAGGACCTATGTTTCTTTGGGCCTGTCTTACTTGTACATTAAAATGGTGATATTTTGATAGTTCAATTGCATCTCACTGAAGACATTCAATAAAAGTAGCTTCTGTTCCTTTCAGCTTGGACATTTATGAACATTTTTGCAGCTGCCTGTATTTTCCTGTTGTTCTTTCTCAGCCCTGTGTGTGGTGAATGAAAACATTTGATGCGTTTAGTATTGAGACACAGCATAGGACAAACGGCCTCTGCAAAGTGTATGTGCTGTTTGCTCTCCTGCCTCTTTACTAATCATATGGCAGCCCTCTGAAGCTAGACAATCAAATTTGATGTCTCTGCTCAAGGATAAATAATTATATATTATCTATCACTTCTCTATACTTTCCTCAAAAAAAAAAAAAAAAACCCAAGCAGAATTGATCTCAGTCTTATCATTACTATACAGGTGAGGAAAAGTAAGAATTGACCAAGTTGAACTGGATTTTTCTCAACCTATCAGTAGTTTTGCTAAGTCCTAAGAAAGCTCCACTATTGCCATGAGTCATGGAGACATAATCTTTCAGTTCGCAAGAAGAAAAGGGTTCTGCCAAGAGGCACATCTGTATCTGAATATAGAATAACACTTCAAACCTCTAAATCTGCAGGGGTCTCCAGTCTCGCTCAAGATCACCTTTAAAGAGATGCTTCTCTGGCGCTCTCATAGCCTGTTTTCTTATGCTTTGCTTGAGGCAAATTTACCAAGCCCAGCAATCCTTCTGGTTCACTCTAGACATCCAATACAAAGATACCTTTTAGGTGAGAAAAGTAGGGGCTCAACAAAACTCTGAGATACAGTTGAGAAAGTTCACACTAATACTTCTCTTTTTTAGTTGACACTCTAAACTATCATTGATTATTGTTTTATGCTGTATGGCTATTAAGCAGTCATTATATTTAGGCTGGAAGCCATCTTTTTCTTACAAAAATATAAAACTATTTTTTCTTAAGAAAGCATGTATTTGAAAGTAATTCAGGTGGAATCTGAATGGGATGATTTTGACAATGTGACTGCAAAAGAGGAAAAAATAGTAGCATAATTGCCATGATAGGTTTTAATGCTCATGGAATAAAAATAATAAAAGCAAAGCTGTTATGGAAACAGAAATGTGTTCTGTAAATGAACTTTGCCTCATACATATACACATTATTGTATTTTATTTTGCTTCTATGACGGAGCAGTTGTATTTCGTCATTGGATATGCAGCTCAACTTGACACCTTTGAAAGTTAATAGGAAATTGGATGTGAGAAAACTCTGGCAGTTACAAACCAAAGTACTGATTTTTCCTTGGAAAATCAGTTGTGGGCTGGGAGGGTGGCATTTTTCTTTGTAAATGACAAGCCATCTACAAGTGAGTTGATTTGTATATGTCTAGTTATATCTGGTGTGGATTCTGGTATTGCCTAAAGGGCTGACACTCACTCACTGCAGACGTTATTACCCATTGATTTTAATGCACTGGGATTTTAAAGCAGATCTCTTTTTAAGAATGTTTTTAATAGTAACCTCATTAAGAACAAAAATAGAAGTGTAATTAGATTAATTCTGTGCATTTTCATCCTCCTTAAAATCAAAGTTGGTAACAAGTGCATTCATTTCCTACTGGTAATAACTTCAAAATGAGATTAAAGGGGACATTGTATGTAAACTTGATCTGGCTTGCTCCCCGGGGAAATACGGAATATGAACTGGTCTTTCTGAGTAGGAATTTCTGAATAACTGGTTGGCTTTTTTCCCCTCTGGGTTTTTGGTGCATCTTTCCCTTTACAGAGAACCAACTTTATGTCAGTCTTGGACAAGTGCGTGATCCAGGTGTGGTATTCAAGGCAACGTTGGCTTTCTTAAAACCCATAACTAGCATTGGTTGAGACTAGTTATTGGTTGAGACACACTCATTTCAATTTTGTCAACCCTCACATCTATGACGATGATAATACTGTTTCTATTTTGCGATGAGGGAATATATGAGTAAGGTGTGAAGGATCGATATATAATATATAATTATCACGGAAATTATATTAGAACGTGAGTGTGCATGCGCACCACACAGAAACCCACAAGTTGCAAAAACAAAAAATCCTAGCCCTTGAATATCTGTTTGGATAAAGTGGTCCTTATTTTTTGGTATTTTGTATTTAGATTTGTGCTCTTTCATCTCTCAAACTGAATGTTTTAAGCTTAGCTTACTATCTGGTGCCTGTTATAAATATTTGGAAAAATACAGAAAACTCCGAGACACACTCTGCTTTCTTATACCACCGTTCTGAGTTAATTCCTGTTAACATGTTAGGAGTCCCCCTCCCCCCCCCCCCCCATAGTTTCTGACTAGTGTCATTACAAGGAAAATAACTCCTTCAGGTGAGTGAACTTGAGCCCCCAGCTCCAGCCTCAATGCCAACAGCAAGTAGGAAACCAGATCGCTTGGTATGAGAAGAAGACCTGGAAATCTCTAAAACCCAGGACCCATTAGACTTCTTCACAGTCCCAGACCTCTCTCTCTGTCTCTCTCTGTCTCTCTCTCTTTGTGGTCCGCATTTATCGGTTCCAGAGCTCGCGGTGGCATTGTGCGTTCAGGGTCCAATTCCGAGACGCTGCTGGAGTGCTGCCCTGCTCCCCTCCGCAGCGCGCAAGTCATTGAACATTTCTAATTAGAACCATATTTTAAACACGTTCTCCGGAGAGACGTTCCTCCAAGCACGGCTTCCTCCAGCGACAGACACCTGCCGAAGATGCTCGCGGTCTGATGTCTTACTCCTTGCCAAGCAAACCCGTTGGATATCGGTGAATGAGATGCCTTCTGGTCCCCGCCCCTCTTCCCCCCATCCTTGGGTAAGAGCTGAATGTAAGGATCGGTTCCGGCTTGGGGCTAAGCGGAGTGACCCGGAGCGCCACGCGGTGACCAGCGCGCGCGCACGGGGCCACCTTTGGCCACCCCTCCCTCTGCGCACCGCCTCCAGCGCGGGTGACAAGGCGCCCTCTGCGCCCGAGAGCCAGCGCTGAACAATCCCGGGGCAGGGCTTGCCTCGCCGGTGACATCACTCTCCAAGAGACTCCCCGCTCCTACTTAGTTCCTGCCTTCCTGAAGCCTCCGAACCTTCGTAGGTCTCCGCGGGTCCGTCGGCGGCGGGCCGCTGTGGAGGACACTTGTCCCTTGCTGGTGACAGAACCGGGCACCGAGGAGCAACGGGACCCTAAAGAAGCAAGGAAGCCAGGCAGCCAGGGAAGGAGGACCCCGGCAGGACACAACATGAAATTCAGCCCAGCTCACTACTTGCTGCCTCTCCTGCCAGCGCTTGTCCTCAGCACCAGGTGAGTCCAGGAGCGCGAGTGACCTGAGCGCAGGGGCGCAGCCAATGCGACGTATGTCCTACTGCGGGTCACTGAGGAGAACCGAAGGCAGAGCGCTTTGCATCTCCCGCTCAGCCCAAGTAAGGCGTTAGCTGCATGCATGTCTGGGCTCTAGCAGCTATCCCAGCCCCTTTGGAGAAAGTCTCAGTACGGCAATAAGGAGGGAGCCCCAAGAGCTTCCCAACAGAAGAAAAAAAATAAGTCATTAAAAAAAAAATCTCCTGCCGTACTAGCCATGATCAGAACTAGCCATGATCAGAAAAACGCAGTAATAGAATAAAATAAAGAAAGAGGAAGTGGGGAGATAGAGCAGGGTCACCAAGCACGGTCATTAGGTGCTTCGTTTTCAGAGTTGGGGAGCTGCCTCAATGGGTCTGATGTTTCCTGCTCCCATAAGCAGAGACCGCAGGGGAGAATGGAAGACACTAAATGTTGTACAAAAGTTCCTGTCCTCCTGAATTAGTCTGTTTTGACATTTGGGGTAGGCTTCATGACAGTTGTTTTCTTGTAAACAAGTCTAATTAAAGAATAGAGGGGGGTGTGAATAAAAGTTTGAAGACGTTCTTGGAGAGCTGATGTGGAGACCCTAGTCCAGAACAATTAAGTACTGTACTTCATCATTGGCTAGAGATGAGACTTTAAGCCCCAGCACAGAGACGCTATTTTTAGTGGAGATTTAAAATGCAGTGACTGAGAGTAGTTTTCTGACTCTCTACTGTTGATGGAGTCCAAAGTTGGTGTTGGGTTGGCTTTTTTTTTTTTCTTTTCTTCCATTAGAACAGCACAAGGGTGGCCTGTTTCATTGCCATGGATGGATTTTTTTTTTCCCTTCCTGCATGCCCCCAGTATTATACTGGCAGCAGCCTCTTTGCCTTGGCTACTGTGAAGTAAAATAAGCCACACAGGGTGAGGATTCTTTCAAATCTGCATGAATAGAAACACTATCTGATTGTGCATTTGGGTAAAAAGGAAAGGAGGGCCAGGGAATTGTAACAAGTTCTGAAATGGCACGTTATCTGTTGAAAATCTAGACAATAAAATTATTGGTTCTATTTTCCAGTCTATACTTCTTTCAGGCCTGTGCAATATAACTTTCCTTTTTGTACGGAGACTATTTTATCTAACCCAATAATTTTTGAATTTTAGTTCTTTTGCTGGCATACAAAGCTCAGGAAAATACCTCAGAATAAATCAAATTTTGAGTTTTACTTCATCTAAGGGATGCTCCTTACTCCAGTTCATAAAATGCACATGGTGTTGAAAAGAACCATTCTGCTTTTCAGTGTTATCCTAACTCACTCCAAATACATAGCTTGTTTTAATCTTCATGGTTAGCTCTAAGCAGACTAAGGAAAAACTACACATCTCAGTATTCTAGTGATTGCCACCAGCAATAGTATGTTCTTCTTTAATGATTATGTATATATATATATAGTCTGACACAAAAAGAAAATCTCTTAAGTTTGTATACTTATGTAGAAGTCTGTCAATCTATGGCTAACCTAGTAAATATTTGAGCAATAGAAACCCAGGCAACAGTCATTTTTAAGAGTGAAATTCTCCAGAGTTCTGAAAGAACACTTGTCTTTCAAAGATGCAATAATTTAAGGGCTAAGAAGCTCTATAGTCTCCATCTTCCAAAGTTTCAATATTAATTATGTAACATGGGGGTAATAGGCTGTCAGCTCTGTCTTTCATGAGAGTGTTAATTTCTATGAGATAAATGTCTTTAATAAAAACATGAACACAATTATTATGAAAATTGAAACATTCATCTCCAGGTTTATGGAGATATAAAACTTCTGTAAATTAATTGTAGATGAAAACTGAGACAGGACTTAATATTGTAGAGAAAGAACATGCTGGGCTTACAAAATGAAAATTTTATAATTAAGGACACATTATTAGGATTTTATTCTGTACAAATTTATTCTACTGTATATCCAGATTAGGTTGTAAGAGATGAGGTACTCAGCACTAAGAACAAACTTGAAAACTAAATGTGGTTCTATCAAGATATCACTTTGTAAGAAGAGAATATGCTTTAAAGAACTCTAACCAAAGGCCTTTTTCTGGGCACTATTTCACAGTTCCTACAAGCATATGTTGAATGTGCAGGTTAGAATCCAATGTGAACAGCTCTGTGAGAACAGTTGCCTTAGTAAGGATGAGCCTCTAAGTCCTGCTGACAAAAACTATGTAGCTTAGCCATGGCCACCTGTGACAGGGCATTTTTCTAGCCAAAGACTTCTGTTCACTTTGTTTCCTAGTCAGTGGTCCCTTATATGGACACATAACACTTCACATGTGTAAGGCAGCATTGAGGGCATTCATAGAGGATGATAATTGCTTGCTTTCCCCATAGCTTTTGGATGATGTCACTTTTTTCTTTTCTTTCTCTTTCTCCTTTCTTTCTTTCTTTCTTTCTTTCTTTCTTTCTTTCCTTCTTTCTTTCTTTTGTCTTTTTTTTCTGACAACTTTTTCTAAAAGATGGGGAAAGTAGAGCTTGTAAAGTAGACCTTTGATGCAAAAGCATATTTTTTCCATTATTTCTTTCTGTAAATATAGCTCTTAAATACTTTGACATTTGCTTCCAAATAGCCCTAAAGTTTCTCTGTATTAGACACAAGATCACTGATATAAATGCTGAGAAAGCTAGTCATTTATAAGGAGATAAGTGGTCACTCTGTATTTATATTCTCTCTACAGTGATGACATTGCTAAGATAATCCTGTCTTCAAGTTGTAATTTACTAACTATGCTCCTCTTCCTCCTCACTTTTTCTGCAACAACTTTTTTTGGTATGTTTTTTATTGTAAAAATTCTGTACAGAGGAGTTACACTTACATGATGAGCAAGGTAATGAGTACATTTCCTATTGAGCATTCTGCAGCAACTTTTGCGTCAGAAACATACACACACACATGTACACACACAATTCCATAACTTTGTCAGAGTAAATATATCATTGTCTCCCACCATCAGAGTCATTTGATTTCTCCTGAAAGGTAAATGTTCACATTCAACATCAACCAAGCATTTTCCACTATTTTCTGGTAAGCCCCATAGTGTCAAAAAGAACTGTTTAATTTCTTAGCATATTTTCCCTCTTGTTTAGAGAGTACATATACATTCAAAAAAATCAAGTTAATGGTTTGAATAATGTAGCTAATACAAAGACCCATTTAACCTGTGCACAAATAAATATTGTAAAAGAAAGCAAACATATATGTTGATTGAATAGCTTCAGAACAGAATAACTGTACTTTTTTAAATAGCCTTATTCTGTAGAAGTATTAAATTGCTATTCCAAGCCAGCCAGTAATTCTATTCAGAGAATAGTGTAGGTTTTAAAAGGAATGGTAGGGTGAAAGACTCTTTAGAGGTTCTTGGTGAAAAGAGATTCATGGAGTGCTGGAGAAGGCTTGTGCTTTAGTCGGCGGAACCTCTGTTCCTTTGTGTTACGGTTAGACTCCTGATATCTTTGGATTGCTAAATTTTAAATGACTTAATAGGGAGAAAGACATATCAGGGGAGGAGAGGTCTACTGATTTCTGGTAGTTATCTGTCAAGCAAGCACTTTGAGCAGATGGTAGGTTGAAATCCTCCCAATAGGCTACACCTACGAGGTCTCTCTTGGGTCCTCTGATCAGCAGTCATAACACATGTTTACTTTAGGATTTATTTTTAGATGATACTATGAATTAATGATGCCTCAGGCTATTTGTTGTGTGCCCCTTTCTAACCTCTAAATCATACTGATGTGTAGGATAAAGAAAACGACAAGAAAGAGCAAACATCAGGTCAGTACACACATAACATATTCTAAAGGAAATCTGGCCAACTAAAGAGAGTTGAAAGAACTTGATGGAAAACCAGTCTGACTTCAAGTTTACTGAAATACTTCCAGTGATATGGAAGTTTTCTTCTAAGTTCAACACATACCAACACATTACTCTTTTCCAAAAATCTTTAGTCTAACACCATCTATTATATTACTTTATTTATGATAAGAAACCTACCATCCTGTGTGCATGACTAAGATAAATACCTTTCACAAGAAAATATGGTAAAGAAATTTTATTGACTTCTAAATCTGAAATTCTGGACATATGTGGCTATTTCCAATACCAGCCTGTAAAATTACTTTGATGAATATTAGCTTTGTGGATTAAACTTTCCTAAGGTCAATAATAAGGACATCTAAGACAATATATACCAATTGTGCAATTGTCTAAAACCAAATTCCCTGTAATTGAAAGATCCCAACCAGAGAGCGAAAATCATTGAAACCAATGAAGATTGTGAAATTATCTATCTATCTATCTATCTATCTATCTATCTATCTATCTATCTATCTATCTATCTATCTATCTATCTATCTCCATCTGAGTTTTGTAACATTGTGCATAAGTACCTATTATTTAATGATTTGGTGGTTATTTGCTAAAATCACGTTGAGATAGGGCTAAATGATTAAATCTGATTGAACAGTGTTGCAAATTGTTTCCTTCTCTGGAAAATTTACAGGTAGAAGCTATTTGAACACACACACACACACACGCAGATTTTGGATTTATCTGTGATGGTTTCAGTCTACATAATGAGTGTCTGTCAGGTGTTGTGTGAGACATCAAGACAATAAAATAGAAAACTTGTAATTACATGGCCCCAGAACCAGCACACAAATAACTGTAAAAGACAAAGTTGAATAGCTACAATAGTTTTATACAAAGCTCCAACTTTGAATCCAGAGAGAATAAATAATGCCTATAAAAGCATCAGAGGTAACATCTACTTTCCAAGTCAATGAACCAAATAAATGTTGCCATCAATTCCAGTACTAAGAAACTTTCCCTAGGTTCCTCAAGTAGGAACTAGTACTGCTCAGAAAAGCTACCTGCAATAGATGTTATGGTGACTGAATGAGTTAATTTATGTGAAGTATTTAGCTATATTCT